CTGCGGGGCTTGCGGGCTCGGCGGTGCTCTTCAGGAGGAGCTGCAGGGGGTCCCACCCCTGCCTGAAGTTCCCACGCGTGGCATGAGCTGCAACAGGCCTGGGGAAAACGCAGTACCTGGAAACTAGCTTTTCTTTTTTTTTTTTTAAACGTTGAGGGAATCTTTGCGAAATATTCTAAGACAGTATATTTTAGGTGTTGTAAGCAAGATCAACGTGGATAAGTTGAACTGTCTTTGCAAGTATATTTTATATTGGTTTTGTATCTTGTGCACAGTTCTTTCAAAACAATTGTTTTTTTTTTAATCTATGGAACTCGCTGGCAGCTTTCAACCTCTTGAATTGTTTTCATATTCCCCAAGCACTGAGAAGATATGAATAACTTTGAACAGTGAAAGAAGATTCCTCGTTTCATGTGAAAAAGCAATTGAGTCAGTAAAATCTTTTCTAAAGAACTTGTCATTAGAAGCCAGAAGATCAGAGTTGTATTCCTTACTCCCCTGCATGACTATTAGAAAAATAATTTAAGAGCTCTGTGAAATCAGTTGCTGCTTTTGCGTAAGAGGCTTACTTTGAAGGTTATTTGTATTTTTCTTCGATTGTTTTGCGTTGGTTTGTTGTTCGTTTTTTGTGGGGTTTTTTTGCCTGGTTGTCTTCTGGGGTGCACTTATGAGATTAAATTTATTTCAATAATTAAAAAGGATTTTAACAGTTACAGATGTGAGAAGTTACGATCCTTCATAGAGCATTAGACCTGCAGACTTTGGCCCAACTGAGCAGTGAACTGCAGTAGCAAGGTTTTAATAAGCTGCTAAGCTTGTTTGTTTGTTTGCTTGCTTATTTTTTGTGCCTACTGCTATACCAGGCCTGTTGCAGTAATGCATTTTTTGCTACCTCACATGCCACCTGTGACATTGGCAGTGCTGCTGAATCAGGCTTTGATATTCCTGACCATTCTTCATTATCCCCAGTGAAAACTTCTGCTGGCCTCTGTCCTGTTTGGGAAACCATTTGGGGTGTATTATATTTGTAGGTCTTTTGTCACAGATGCATCTACGATCAGAGGTGTTCTTTTTTTCCATATTAGGAAAGCTAGCTTATGTGAAAGGTAAATACAAAGACTTGTTAAAACAAACTGTTTTTCTTGATTGTTGATAATGTCGTTAAGACCCTTTCTCCAGTAATTCATGTCTATGTAATTATTTCATTAGGTATTTATTGCACAGTCAAGAGCTTCTGGAAGCCACCGAGATGTTGAAGATGAGGAGCTTACACGAATCTTTGTTATGATACCAAAATCCTATACGGAGGAAGATCTGCGAGAGAAGTTTAAGGTACTGATTGGCTATTTGTTAATTGTTATTTTAAATTGCCTTTGTCTTAATTTATCAGAAGGGCTGGAACTTTAATGCGTTTTCAAATATTGTAAATTAATATGCTTTTTAATTGTTCTAGATGTATGGAGACATTGAATATTGCAGCATTATTAAAAACAAGACTACTGGAGAGAGTAAAGGTTTGGGCTATGTGAGGTATTTAAAACCATCGCAAGCTGCCCGAGCAATTGAAGAGTGTGATCGAAGTAAGAATCTGACTGAATTCTTTCAAGTTTTTCACAATAAGTGTGTATCGTCATTAATGTACCTTTAATTTTTAGTTTTATTTGCGGGTGTATTATTTATGATGTAAACACATCTTGAGACAAAGTTCTATTGCAAATGAAAAACCAGTATTATTAACATTCACTGAGAACAGTCACCTGATTACATTCTTGCAGGACCAAACGACAAGTAAGATCAGTGAAAAGAGTTTGGAAGTGGATACAGTTTTCCTTCATGCGTTATTACTGGCCTGTAATGTAGCCTTCAACCTCATTTTAATAGATCCCTGGGAATATGCATTTTTAATCAAATATTTTTTGATATAAAATGAGTTTATATATAAAAATATATTTGATAATCCATAGGGATTCTGTTGTGATTACATTTATTTAAGAACAAATTAATCTTAATTGAAGTTTGGGGAGTTTGTTTGTTTGTTTTCATTTAATGTCATGATTAATCTGTTACAGAATGCAAGACTGTGTGCTTTATGACCAACCATTTGTCATTTATGCTCTAGTACCAAAAAGGTGTTAATGAATTCAAGTGAGTCCAGTGGAAGGCCACCAAGGTGGTCGGGGCTGAAGCGCAAGACTTATGAGGAGGGATGGAGGGAACTGGGTTTGCTCATCAGGAGAAGAAAGGCTTTGGGGGAAACCTAACAGCAGCCTTCCAGTCCAACCTCCTGTTCAATGTTTGCTTAATCGTAAATATGAAACAACTTGGTGTGTGGGTGTGGTTGTTTTTTTGTTCTTGTGTGGGTTTTTTTCTTTTTTCTCCAGTAACACACGTGGTGGTTCTACATCATATCTATCATAAGTGGTTCTACAAAAATTATATTTGTGACAATTCTTGCATAGGAATATGAGTCTGAGATTACTTAGAAGTTAAATTTTATTTCCTTTTTGCTGTGAGGTTAAAATGAAATTAGTTGGGTAGTCTGACAGTAATACTTATTTCTTTCATAAAAGCAAAACCTAGATCAGTGGAAAACATATATAAACTGCTGTTATAGCATGGAGGTTCAGGTGATTGCCTCTGGAACATCTCTGAATCCTGCCAAGTATCACAGAATGGTTGAAGTTGGAAGGGACCTCTGGAGGTCATCTTGCCCAACCCCTCTGCTCAAGCATAGTCACCTACAGCAGGTTGCCCAGGACCATGTCCAGATGGCTTTTGAATATCTCCAAGGACGGAGACTCCACAACCTCTCTGGGCAACCTGTGCCAGTGCTCAGTCACTCTCACAGCAAGTAGGCTCTGTTGTGCTTAACTTGTGACTAGGAGTAGTTCTATGTAGAAGTTGTTAACTTTCACGCAATTATTATGGCAGACCTCAAGAGTTATAGATTAATTGTTTTCCTAAAGCCAGCACTTACTGGGTTTTCTGAATAATATGTTTCTAAATATAGTACTTGGAGAATGCAGATCTGGTCAGATAATTCAGATGTGCTGAGGTGTTGCTATATGTGTGGTTGTTTCTTTCAGGCTACAGGGCCATTTTGGCTGAACCTAAAAATAAGTCATCTGAGTCTTTTGAACATGATTATTACAGTAATAACACGAGGCAAGAACCAAGAGGAAATACACTTCCGTTTTGTAAGTCACAACTTTTTATACTAAAAATGATTTGTAGTCTTGTGTATGGTCACAAAGTAAGAATGCAGTTTGGAAGAAGGGAAGCTAACGGAGGCTTAGGTCAACACTGAAATAGTAGATTGGATGTTGGAGTTAGAAACAAGCTAGGCATTTCGTTTCTATATTTTTATGGCTTGCTTTGCTTTAGTTGATTATTTTGTGACCTGCATTGGTGAAATAAACGCATTACCTTTAGTATATAATTGACTTAAATTACTTTGAAAAGTTGAATGAAAAATACATATGAAATGAAGGCATGCTAGTGTGATGACTCAAATTATTTATTTTTATGTTGATTCTTGAGGTGGGCAGCCAGAGTTTTGTAGTTTTGAAAAAAATGAGAGCAGAATTCAAGAGTCAGTCTCCAAACGTCTGTCAGTGGTATCACGGCTCCCCTTTATCCAAGAGCAGCTGTTCGCCCTCTTTGATCTAGTCCCAGGACTGGAATATTGTGATGTTCAGCGAGATCCTCATACTAATAGTGGTAAGTAAAAGTACAGAAGGTTTTTTTTCCTTTCTATGAAGGGAATGCCTTTTAATTATACTTCAATTAATTTGTATTGCAAAATACAGTACACTTGTTGGAAAGAGTTAATGTTTTATGTAACAATGGTTGCTGCTATCACTGATGCATAAACCCAAAAATTCAGTTTTGTTTGAACCCCTGTTTACAGGTAGCCTTAAATACCTTTATTTTCAGATAATAGAATCTCGAGAAGGACAGAATCCAAACTGTGAGAAGTGGTTTTTGGTCAAATTAAGTTAATGGTTTTGGGCAGAATAAATGGAGAAAAAGTTTCAAAAATTATTAGAAATCTAGTTTAAATGTTCTGTAAACAGATCTTTCGAGTTTTCATCATGAAATGGGGGTGGTGGTGGTGTGTCTATGTGGAGAAGCTGACGTGATTAAACTGGATTAAATCATTCCAGAACAAATCATGTTTTGATTGGAAGGATTGTTTTGGTTTCAGCCGTCTTGTTGTTTTGCTATTGCTGAGAAAAATGCGGAAGAGATCTGTTCTCCAAGAAGCTTGAAATGGAAATGATTCAGAGAGTTAAAATGCAGCTTTACAGTACTTGAGATTCACTGTTGATGGGATAATAGCATTTTAAAATGAAACTGTATATGCTTTTGTTTCTAATTCAGGGTTAAGGAAGAAGACGTGTTTTCACTTGTGTTGCTTTATTACCAGCTTTTCAAGTTAGCATAAATAGAGCTGATCTGTCACTAGTTAATTCCACTGAAGCTTTCTTTGTGAATAATACTGATGTTGCTATTAAGTAATGTAATGTGTTGTAAAAGGACTTAGGAATTTTGTATCATCCATGACTAATGGGCAGTTTAATCATGTTGCTTTATATGAGTGTAGTTTGTTCTTAGGATTTACCCATATCATACTGAAACTGTCTGCACTGCATTTGTAGGGTACGCTGTGATTCAGTACAGTACTGCTGCGTCAGCTATATATGCCAAGTATAAATTACATGGTTTTGAGTATCCTCCTGGAAATCGATTAACTGTCATTTTCCTAGAAGATGGGAGTGATAGCTCAGAGTAAGTACCAATACATAGAGATAGAAAGTTGTAAGTTGTGTTCTGGAGAGCAAAATTTTAAGTAAATAAATTTTGAACAGAAGTAGTAACAGCAATGTCACTGTGATCTTGTTTCATACTTGTAGATAGTATTTTCTGAAATTTAGGTGTTTTGGGTTTTTTTTTTTTTTTAAATGGTTTAAAATAAACCTTTAGAAACTTACTAGTCTTCGGTAAAGAAAAGATTAAAATATATATTCTTAAGATACATTGGAAAATCTTGGATTTGGCAAGAATCTTTGTAAATGTCTCTGTAATATCTAACAAGGCTGGAATGTGTTTTTGATGAGGTTTTTATATTAAAACCAGTTTTATCTACTTGATCTCTTGGTTGTGTTTGCAGTACTGCAAATAGTAGCCTTGTGAAGCACATATGTAGAGTAAAACTGTTGGGTGCTGAGGATCTGACATCCCCACTGTATGGGGATCGTCAGGTTCTACTTGACCATCTCCAATCTGTTGCTGTGGTTTGAATGCCCATTACAAGTTGGAGCAGTTTAGGTATGCTCCCGCAGTGAATATTTTGGCTCAGTTTCATCCTAAAGGAATCTAGTTCATGTCAAACCTATTCTGCGATATGAATGAGGACAGTAAGGAGGGACAGTGGGGAGATTCACTTCAGAAGTGCGTGCCTGATCTAAACTAAAAACAAACAAGCAAACAAAAAATCATTGCAACCGTCCTTCTTGCAAACCATTTCCTTCATTCTTCAATAATTCCTACTATTTCATGGTCCTACAACATGGGCTGTGAATCTATGCAAAAAGTGCAATTGTTTTTTCTTATTCAGCAACAGAACAAAGACAAATTACTGGAAAATGAGAGCTGGAAGTAAACTTTCTGTGATAATATTCTGACTTCTGAATTGAATCTCTGTGGTCTTTATTGAAACAGGTGAAATTGTTCTGTCCCTTCTGCCTTTTAGGCACCTTTCACAAAATGTAGTGGGCTCTGTAGAGTTAATTTTAAATTTTTTTTTCCCCTAGAATATTAAAAAAAGCAAAGAAGAGTTTGTATCTCTATGTGTAGAAATGTATGACTGTTTTCAGTGAGTTGCAGCTAGCACGCATACTTTCAGATCATATCTAGAGTGTCATGAAAGCTTTTCGTTATCTACATGAGTTTACAGATTTCCAGAGATACTTTCAGATGTGCATTAAAACTTATTTTCTTTTGCTGAATTTAAGATTACCGTAACTTAGCTCTTTCTTTAAAATAGTTTATTATCACTTCTGCTTGCAGCCTTATCAGAAAAATGGCAACACAGCTGGTAACAGCCCATGTGTCATCAGTGTTGCGGAGTAACAATGCAATTGTTCAGCAGTATAGGACACCTCCTGTAAGTTAATATAATGGATACTGTTAATATTCTTCTGAATTGTTGTAAGAAACTTCAGATACGTCAGTAAAAAGCACTGCTTACTTTCTTCTGTAACTGTTTCAGATGCTACATTTTTAAGATGTTCCTCTGGTTGGTTTGTACATTTTTGTTCCCTGTAAAGGTGTCTGACCTTACTTGGATTTATTGTCCAATTCAATGAAATAACCGAAGTAAAAAAATTAATTAAGATGAGAACTGGTAGAGCTTGTTTATGTCCTGTGATAGGAACAAAAATTGTAAATAAGGTAAAATGACTTTTCCCCCCCCATTGGCTAACTTATACTTGCATTTTTTTCCTGTGTCTCGGCAGGCATTTGGAGGAACTTCTGGCTCACAGTTACTTCAGCCGCAAACAGATGCCATACTTCCACCACACAAAAAAAAAGTTCCACCTGACACTTCTGTGAAGGAAAGGCTTTTCATACTTTTTCATCCTCATCCTTTACCTGTAAATGTATTGGAGGATGTGTTCTGGTAAGACTCCACTTACAATTAAATGTTCTCTAACCAAAAAAAACCCCACGAAATATTTAAAATAAATGTTGAAAATAAAAAAGATTGTCATAATGAAAACTCTTTCCAGAAAAGACAGTGCACAGTGATCAATAAGTAGTAAGTGATCAATAGGTAACAGTTGCTTTTTGAAGCAAGAGTGTAATGGAATTCACCTTGAAGCATAGATGCAATGTCATCAGTACAGCAGCTTTATTATTGATTAACGTAATCTGAAGTAAAATGTCTAGTCTCTTAACATTTTTTAACCAAAAAATGTGGAACTTCCAGTTCTTATAGCCTAATTTATTTGGCATTTTCTTGTACATATTTCTATAAGGAATTTTAAGTATTTTGATAAATTTCCACAGTAACTTAGGGGAGTCAGTATAGGGAGTTTTTTTTCTGATGTATCCTGAGACATTTTGATGGTTTGCATCTTACTAACATGATTTCGACCGTCCTTTCACACTACCTCGCTATGAGGAGCAAAGACTTGAGAGACAATTTTTGCCATCTTTAAAACAAGTCCATAGTTAGCTGTTCTCCAGTATTTTATATTATTTATTTTTAGTATACTCTTGAAGAAAAAGACATTTCCTTTTTCTAATAGCTGGCATTTCCAAATCTTTGGAAAGCCAAAATATTTTCGAAGCACCAGGAAAGGAAAAGAAACAATATGCACTTGTGTGGAATTTAAAACTGTACTTATTTGATAAACTGAATTTTCTTAATCAGATGTTGGAGAAGAAAAAGGCTATGCACCCTAGTCTTGACACTTGTATAACTTCAGTATGAAGTTTTTTAAAACATTTTTTAAGGAACTTTCTAGGAATCTCCTGAGGACTTGGAAATCTGGGTTTTTCTGTAAAGCTTTAGCGCTTGCTTTCTGAGTCATTTCAATGAGGCCTTTTCAAAGATGAATCACAACTGAGCAAGTTCATTTAAGCGAGATGCAAGTTTAGCCTCTGAATTATATGCTGGTTTGTGTGTATGTTCTTTTTGGTTTGTTTGGGTTTTTTTGTTGTTTTGTTTTTGTGGGTTTTTTTGAGTACCATTTAGTGTTTGGGGACTGTGGTATTGATTAGCTTTACGTATTCTTTTAAATAAGAGATATATCACTTGTGCTTGTGGTTCTATTGTAATATTCCATAGAAAACATTGCCTACAAACTTCTGGTTATATTTTTATTCCTGCCTGGAGAAGGGAATATGAAAATTGGGAGTTTTGGAAGAGGGCAGCACAAGAAAATATAGCATACGTATGAGAATATACTTTTTGCAGCTACCAAATCATATGTATTTCAGATTGGATAATAGGTATTTATGTTGCAGCAAAACCTGTAAATTATCTTTTTTTCTTTTCTCCCCCCCCTGCCCCCTTGCCCCAGTCGTTTTGGACACTTGATAAAAGTTTACCTTGTGGCTGGAAAAAATGTGGGCTATGCAAAATTTGCAGATAGAGCAAGTGCCAGTGATGCCATAACTGCGTTACATGGCAAGATTGTGAATGGTGTCAGGCTTAAAGTGAGGTTGGCAGACTCACCTACGGAAGAATCTAACAAACGTCAGAGAACTTACTGAGCAGGTGAGTACCCAGCCTCAGCTGTTACTTAAAAGTTCAACTACTTGAAATAGTGATAGGGAAAATATTTTGAAGTTAGATATGAACATATAATGATAAACTTTAAATCTATTTTTAGCTAACAACTTGAAATTTAATTTGTGATATATATGTGTGTATACATATATATGTATATATGGGTGTGTGTATGCTTATATATGCACATGTACACTTTAGTGAAAATCTATTTTTATAATTTTTGAACAAATATGAACCAGTTGATGAACATCAATCTGGATGTTCATAGAAATACTCACTTTATGTACATAAGAGTATCAGTTAACATTGAAAAGAGTATGCAAAAATAAACAATGGAACTGAGATCAGCTTGTGTGTGTCTTTCTTTCATTAAAAACACATGCCCTCACAATGGTGTTGGATAAAGATGCAGAGTTTAGTCCTTGAAGGGCAGAGGAGGGAAGGGGTAAATACAAAGGACATGGGAAGGACAGGGAAGGTTGCCAGGTGAAACCGAAGGTTTGGGATATTTGGGTCATCTGGATTCTCAGAAATCAGGTGTAGCTGGAATATGTGATAGCAAAGAAAATACTGCAGAGCTTGTTGTGTTGGGATTGAGGTGTACGTTTAAGATAATTACTTTGAGAATGTATTAGCTGATGCTTATGGCCTATGAAAGCTGGCTGAGCTCCTAGAGAGGTTTTACAGACTTCAGGGACCAAAATTCACTTGTTCTTTTAAAACATTTATTTGATTCAGATTATATGAATTTTTTTTTTTTTTTTTTTTTTTTTACATTAGGACTATTACCAAAAGAGAAATATAGTTGGGGGAGGAAAGGCTAAGCCTTGTTTTCTACAAAATAACTCCCAAATATTACTGTAGCTTCCAAATTATTTCAGTAGCTGTATTATCTTTATAGGGGACATGCAGTTTTACTTTTAACTCATTCAGAAAACATCGCATGAAATCCTGACTCTCCTCACATCAGTATTTTACTTCTAAGCTTCACTCCTTGTACCTTTCTTTGTGTAGATACTCTTTGTGACCTGGGAGTTGCAAAGACCGAAAAAGATTTTGCCCGCAGTGTTCTTTTCCTCCTTTTTTCCTAAGGACTTCCATGTTGTTCTGTTGATAAGCAGCAGTTACTAAAGGTGGCCTTAGTCTTTATACACAACTTGCTTATTAAAAAAATGGATTTCTAGCATTCTTCTCCTGCACTGAACTGTAGCTAAAACTCATTTGAAACTTTTTTTAATCAGCAGCTCTGGTGAATGCAATTTTAAGTAACTTATACCCGTGCACAAAACCTTTGTACAAAGGTTTTGTTTGTTTTTAATGTGTCTTTTACTTCCAATAATAAAAGGCCAGCCATTTGGTCACTACAGGAAAAACTGATGTAAAGTGTAATGTAATACCAGGTCTGCCTTGACTACTTTTTACTAGAAAAATGTAGATGCGATATGCATCTGCAATTAGAAAGATGATTTATCCTTACTTTTTCTTTCTTTGTTTTTAAGAAAGATAATTATGGGTGAGAAGACTGGGAAGTTCTCTTCTGATTGTCAATCTAAAACTGATTTTTTTTTTTTTTTTTAATTCACACACACAGACGCGTGTGCACACATACACAAGCAGACATTTTTCCAGTGTGATTTTTTTTTTTTTGAGAAGATTCTTTAAGGGCTCCAGCTGACAAAAGGTGCAGTTGGTCACCAAATGGGATTTTCAAAAGGCTAAAATTTACTTTATATTTCAAGTCAGGTTTGAAAATTCTAATATATACTTATTATTGACTATTTAGAAACCTGAACTCCCTTATAAGGTGAGGGTAAGACATACACATTTGCTATTGTGACATTTTACCTAATTAGAAAACTGGAGAAATGGGGTCATATTTGAAGAATAATCTTTTTACACGTGCAAAATTACAGCAGAGCTCTTTGTCCTTTCCTAGGTTTTTGCATTTCTGTAATTTTTCAAATAATAAAGAGTACTAGTTTTAGTTTGTTCAAAGACGAACGCCCTAAATCTTGGACAGATTACCTGTAATTCTGGTGCAAATGACTGCTGAATATTTCCCCTCTGGTTAGCCTTTCATCTGCTGTGTCCGTGTAATCACTCAGGTAGAAGAGCTTTCTAAATTTACTCTGTTACATCTTGTTACATCCTTGTACATCAGGTTCCTGATTCTGAGTCTCTTAGCAGGCTGTCTTCGCAGGGTAGACAGACAAAATTACTTGCTCTCTATTTGTCCTTTAGGCAGTTTCTCAAATTCAAACGAAATGGTATGTAATAAGAAAGATTGCATCTGTGCTCCTTTTCAAAAGGGCTTGCCCATTTAAATCAAGCTTACCACTGTGTGACTCTGCATTGGACTGACTGACAGACAAGTTTTGCAGCAGTTTTGAGGCTTATATTTTGTTTTCAATTAAAGCTTTAAATTGTGCATGTGAAAGGGGATGGAATTCTCTCTACCTCTGAAATAGTACTTCTTTTTTTTTAAGATGTGAGAATACTAACTTTTGTTCTTTTTGAATTTTAGCTGGAGGAAATAATCTTCTTAGCTAAAACTTCTGTGAGTTTTCACTTAAGGAAGTCATTGCCTTTTAAAAAAGATAAAATCCTTTCTAAAGTCCTATTGTATTGCTTGCCTTTTATCTCTAACAAGGTGACTGGATTTCTGCAATAGTCCTTTCTATACAAGGTACTCTGATTAAAATTCGTGATAAGACCTGTGAATTCAATAAAATCTATATGAAAATAAATTTATTTAAATTGAGTTAGTCAATTTAATTAAAATATTTATTATTTGAATGCAGTTTTTCTCTGACTTTTTGAAGTTTTTTCCCCAATAAGATTTTTCATATGTAAATCATCTTTTTTTAATATAATTTACAAAACAATTGTATTTAAACATTTAAATAAATGTTTATTTAAACATTTAAAAAATGTTTTATGGTAGTGGTGTGCTACTGATAATGCTTTTGCAATGTGAACTTCTTATCATAAGAACAGTATTACCTTACAACAACCTTTGTTTATCAGGAGAATTTGAATACATGTCTATTAATATTCTAAACTAATCCATCTAATGAATTTTGCAGGCTCTGGCTCTCCTACAAGTCAATGAAAATTCAATTGTTTGTATGAGTAGTTAAAAGTAGCAGAGAAATGATGGAAATACTGACCAATAAGGTTCTCTTAACTACTTTAAGTTCTACTGTAAGTTTTTTTGGGGTGAGGTTCTCTCCTCTTATGCTAAGTAAGTATTAATGGTTGAAATAATCACTTTAAACCGTCTTGCTTTGAGTCGGTGTAGGCTTGAGAAGACAACTACAGGGTCTACTTCTAGGCAGTTGCTAAAAGCAGAAGCTATCTTAATGTTCTTGGGGTTGTCCAGCTTGTGCTCTCGACTCAGGTTTTTGCATTGCTTTGAGTCTTTCATGAGAACCTCACTGCAGTTTTCTGATGTCTGTTGTGTAAATTATATCACTCAAAAACAGAAGAGGAAGGAAAGGATTTGGTATCTTTCAGAAGAATGTATTGTGGAATTCCGATTAATCTCTTCATTGCAACCTAGCAGTTCTATTTAAATACACCCCCTCCCACCCCCCCAAAAAAAACCCCCAAACCAAAAACCCACCCCAAAAATTTTTCACAAAGCTTTCAAGGAGTCCTCAGAAAGCAGAGCTTCTAACTAGCACTATATTAGACATGCAAAACACAGGTGTCTAGGGTTGGATTCTGTGGCTCTTAATAATCATTGCTGATTGGCTTTAATCCACACCAAATAGATTGATTGCGTTTTTCTCCTTCTGAAAATGCTTGGTTTTGTTTTTAAATAATTATTTAGTTACTTACTAAGTTGAAAAACATTTATTCTGTCATGAAATACTTGGTTATTGTTGTCTTTTGTTACCCGTGACCTGAAAAACTCCTGTATTGCTGATTTGATTTGCATTCATTTTTTTAGTTAAAACTCTATTAAAATCCTGAAGTTTAACATGTATATTTATAATAATTTATTTCCGTGCAAAAATGTTTTCAAAAAAGTAATTGCACCATAGTTGAAATATACTACAGAATAAAAAAAAAGTAGTTAACTATATTTTGTATCAACAGTATACTGCAGAAAAATTGCTGGCTTTCACACACTGCTCAGAAAAAGAGGTATTTCTTTAAATGCTAGAGAAGCATATTTAAAATTTTAATATTATTCTTCTAAATATATTAAAAGCCATATTTATATGCTGTTGTAACGATTATGTTTTATAATATATATATTTTAAAATAGGTATGTTGCTGTTTGATACTATTTTTGTACTTGTGTTTTTTCTACAGAAACTAAATAATGACATGACCCTCAGCTAGCTGACTGACTGACTGAAAACGTGACTAGACATGGTTCCTGTGGACAGTGACAGCTTTTTTTTTTTTTATTTTT